ACTCAGAGAACAGAAAACTACTCATCCAGTGACCAGTATAGTTGCCCTCTACCAGACTCCTGTACCCCACTGGTCTGGGTCTCTCGCACAATATATCAGTAATATATCTGACTGGAGTGTGTATGGGGCCCTTTTCTGAAGAAAATCAAGCTGTTGTTTCTGTGTGTAACATGCTGTCAGTGCAGAAGCTTTACAAAAGCAGTGCTGAATTGTACGTACTGCTGTATGTCCTGATAGGGCCGCTGCACTTCAAGCAAGTCCTTTCAGCTTCTAATGCAATAGGCTCTCGGTTCCATTGTTTTGAGTTGTTAATATTAGAAGTACCATCCATGAAGAAGCAAAAAAGTGAATTTGCAACACTTTCTGTATAACTGGAGGCAGCAATTCCAGGTTACTTACACACTTTGCAAAACTGACTGTACTTCTTTGTTCACTAGAGAAAATGACTGGTTTCCTGGAAGAACTGGATTTCTTGCCATCAAGCCCAGGAACCGCTCCTTTACCCCCATGCAGTGAAGACATGGCTACACTTCCTTATCTTCCCCCTTCACTTCCACTTGCTGCTGAATGGGGATTCTATTACAATCAATGCTAAGAAAAAATGGGTCAGATCCTGTGTGGTGCTTGGTGCCCTCAGTTCCCATCAAAATCAAGAGGGGTTGTAATTGCTCAGCACCTCCCAGAATCAGGCACTACCTATAGGGGAAACAGCCTATTTTTTCGGTGAATTCTATCCCTGCTTATAAAATTCTATAAAATGTTGTTTTTTTTTATAAAATATAGATAGAGGATGTCACCCTATTAAAGTCTATAGATGTTGAGTAACTTTTTTTTATAAAACCTTATCAAATTGCCATAGAACATTATCTTTTTTTCATCCCAAGTACATTCTATAGAATTTTTCTATAAGGGTGGCTTTCAAAGGCTTTCTTAATACAAAATGGTTAATACAGGAAAGAAAAGAATGTTTTTGTTTGACAGGGTACTTCAGGTCAAAATATTTTCCACTGATCTAACTTTGTTTGTTTCTCTGAAGGGGCAGAGGTGGAGTTTCTTACCAGCACAGATATTTTTATGACCTCCGTTATGTGCTTTTTTAAACCTTGAAATGACTCATCTCAACTGTGGCTGGATTGACTTTGAGCGTTTGAGCAATTTCTTCTGGACTGACCCAAGGTAATTGACTGTGGAACCGTGTGTGATCCTTGTTTATTTTTTATTACTATTTATTTTTATTTCATTTTTAAACTATTTTTCCAAACCATGCAGTAATCCAGATTGGTTTACAGACGAGAGGGACGTGAGGGTGGAGAGGGAAAATATTTGGCACATGCCATAGCGTTAAGTAGAGGCTGCAGTTTTTAGGATTTTCTTAACACAGTTTTGAAGCCTGCCAATTGTTACTAAGATATAAAACGATAAAACACATACTCCAAAATGACAGCCCCCAAGCCTGGTCTACACTTAAAATTTGGATCAACATAGCTATGGCACTGTGATGGAATACACCCTGTGTTCACACCTACTTGCTATTGTAGTCTTTGTACAAAGTACGCCTGGTAAGGTATCATTGGAAAACTCATAATTTGCTGGTCAGTATTGTCCTGGTAAAATGTGTGGCATCATTGTATGTGAAGATCTAAGATTTCCCCTGTACAATATCATTAGCACATGTTCCAAACGCCACAGCCCTGTCCAGGCAGGAGTCAGGTCTGTCCTAAACAAAGGAAGGAATGTGAGCTTGCCTTAATTTGCATTTAAGCAATAAACAGAGTCATCAAGCAGGAAGGGAAAACAAAGGAAGTTCAAACAGGTGAAAAAACAGCAGGGGGGGCTCTCAGATGGAAATTGTTTCAAGAAGGGGACTGAAACTATAAAAAGGAAGGAACCACATGCCAAAACACCTCTCTCTCTGTCCCTCCCCTCTCCACCTCATTCTCTACACCTGAGAAGACAAAAGGAAACACACAGGGCCATTGGACTCTGTGGGAGGGCTCCCGACCTGAGAGTTTCATCAGTAATCTGCTGGAGCATGTGGTGAGCAAGTTTGCTTTGCAACTAAGAGTTCCTTAAGTAAATGCTAGTGAGTATTATGTCATTATTTTTCTTGTAATCATTTCTGACTTTTATGCCTCATTACTTATACTCACTTAAAATCTCTCTCTTATTGTTTCATCTAATCCAGTGTGTTTAAATTGAAGTGTCTGGGTAACTATTTAAGATAATCAACTGGCATATTATTCATTTAACGGAATAACAGGCAATATATTTGTACTCTCCAGGAGAGGGCTGGGCAATGTAGGACATACATTTCTGGGGGAAGATTTGGGAATGAGGGTAATGTTGGTGTCACCCTCCAGTATAACGCAGGCTGGTGAGAGCCAGGGTATAGCTGGCAGCCTGCAGTTACACCCAGACACTCAGGGTGTGGCTTGCACCCTGGAAGGTAGTTTGTGATGGCCCAAGTGGGAGTTACTATGGCAAGGCATTGTAAGATACCCAAGGTTGCAGGGCAGTAGTGACACAGCTCCCCACTAGTCTGGATTGTGCCCTGGTATGTCGTAGTGAAGGCTAAGATTTTGTTACGCATATTTTTCATAAAAGTCACAGACAGGTTTCTTTATTGCCCGTGCCCTGTTTGTGACTTTTACTAAAAAATATGCATGACAAAATGGGGAGCTGAAAGCTCCCCACACCATCCAGGCGTTCCTGGCTCAGAGCTGCAGGGTCCCCATACCACAGGTGGCTCCAAGCTCGGGGCACCCCCGCCACCTGTGGTGGTTCTGACTCAGAGTTCCTGGGCACCCCTGGCCAGCCACGGCACTCCATGCTCCCGGGCACTCCCACCAGCTACAATGGCTCCATGCTCTGGGGCACCCCCCACTGGCCGTGGGGCCAGGAACTGCACAGCACCCCTACTGCCCGTGGTGGCCGGGAGCTGCGGGGGGGGGGGGCACAGTTCCCAGTCGCCAGGGTGGCGGGGACCCTACAGCTCCCAGGCTCCAGAGGCTCAAGTCACAGAGGTCTTTGGTAATCATGGATTCCGTGACTTCTGTTACCTCCATGTCAAAGTCGTAGCCTTAGTCATAGTCACTCGGGGATATGAAAAATCCAGACCTCTGAGCACCATAGGTAAGCCAACCTCACCCCTGGTGTAGGCACAGCAAGATCATCGGAAGACTGCTTCCTTCAACCTGCTTACCATCCCTCATGGAGATAGTCTTTGTGCAGCGACAGAAAAACCCTTCTGTTGTTGTAAGCTGCGTCTATGCTACAGGGTTATGCTGGCATAGCTATGCTGATATAGTCCTCATAGGGTAGACATGGCTCCAGTGAAATTTCAGTCTGGGCTGTGTTATAATTAAACTTAAATCACCACAATGACAATGTGGAATTATATTAGGAACCTTGCATTCCTCAAAGGCCCCTCCAATGTTGGGACACACCCTTTCCCCTCATTAAGATTAAAATGCAGTAAGATTGTGTGATGTTATATGATTAAAATATGACCATATAGAGCATTGTTGCAACCACTGTTATATATTTGCAGCAAACCTTGTACAAAGGTTGTCAAGTGAGGTGTCTATGAAAAGGTTATGATTTGCTGGTTATGATTATGCTATCTGTACGCATGTATCGTTTTGTATTTGAAGTTATGGATATTGGCTCTATACCTGGATTTAAAATGTTTGTTTCTGGGGTACTGCCCACAAGGGAGCTAGCCAACACATCTTGGAGGGACTATTCAAATTAAGTGGCTCCTCAGGAAACACTGGGTTGACAATGGACCATGGGAGATGCCCATCTACACTGAGTGGACTGTGATGTAAACGTGCTGTCTGGAGTGTAGGTAATGGCTTCCTGCCATAACTGAGCGAAATTGGGCATGCCCATGTGACTCCAAACACCATCTTGTTGCTGTAATTTTCCACAGTAAGAACAATGTGTTTCCCTCCACATGGCAAAAGCTATAAAAGGCCCTGGAAACACCTCCATTTTGTCTTCAATCCAGCTTCTTACCTCTGGAGGAACTTTGCAACAAACTGAAGCTCTGAACAAAGGACTGAATGACCCATCCAAGCTGTGGATGTACTCCAGAGACTTGACTTAAGCCAGCAGTTTATTCCATCACTGCTACAAGCCTGAAGCAAGACCTTTGCCATTACTATACGTATTTAATTCTTTAACCAACTTTAACTCTCACCTTTCTTTCTTTCTTTCTTTTTATAAATAAACCTTTAGATTTTAGATACTAAAGGATTGGCATCAGCATGATTTTTGGGTAAGATCTAAGTTATACATTGCCCTGAGTGTGTGGCTGGTCCTTTGGGATCAGAAGAACCTTTCATTTGATGAGACTGGATGTAAAGAACCCCTCATCTCTAAATCCAATGTTTTTGGTGGTGGTATAAGAACTGGAGTGCCTGAGGAAACTGCCTTTATGTCTTCTTGTTAGCCAGTGTGGTGAAACACAAGTTTACTTTTGTTGCTGGTTTGGTATATCCTATGGGGGATTAGCCACCAGTCTTGGGGTGTATCTGCCCTATTTCTCAGCAATTTGTCCTGAATTTGGCATCCTCAGTTGTGACCCACAGAGGCACGGTTACAGGTTGAAATACCAACATGTCCTTTTAATTCTGGGTCTGAATGTTGCCTACATGTTGAAAAATGACTGGTGACCTGGGGTACCTCGATTTTTGGATATCCAGCTGAACACCGTAAAGGACCTGATTTTTCAGAGGATGGGTACTCAGCCCTTTCAGAAATCAGGCCTTTCTAAGGTGTGAAGTTGGGCACCCAAAATCACTAGTAACTCTTCAAAATCTAGGCCATTTCACTTTAATAAATGAGAAATATGTGAGGTTTTCCATCCTGTTGAGTTCTGGGTGAAGTGTCAAACAGCCTCCCCATGTATAATCCAAAATATTAAAAATTAACACAGCCCTAAAATTAAGTTGTAAATACTTGATTCAGATTTTAAATCCCTGATTGTTTTTTCATTGCTAACCGAAAAATCCAATATGCTCATCAGCTGGCAGGTGACATGAAATGTTTGCTATAGAAGGGCATCTCCAGAAATCTTGCTTTCGTACAACATTCTAGGCAATTAAGATCACAATCAAATACTTAAACCTCACCCCTTTTCATTTAAGTGTTTGCACTGTTGACATTGTCTCCTGCTTTCTAGTACAACTAGAAAGCCTTTAGTAGGACTGCAGCAAACAATCCCAGCAGACGTGTTCAGAATGTACCTAAACTGCTCTGTATTGTGATGAACCATACAGTCCATGTATAACTTTAATACAGGCTGTAACTAAGATCAGGAGTTATGTATTGTAATGACCCACAGTTAAAAGAATAGAATATGTTAGAGATAGAGCTGGAAAACATGGCAATGTTTTAAATGTATTCTTAAACAAATGTCACTAAAAGATTTTTCAGGTATTTTTCCGTTGTTTTTCAGATTTCAGCTTTTTAAATAAATCAGTTAAAATACTGCAAGAGCAATTTCTGAGGTTCTGGGATTTAAAAAAACCAGCCAACTGTATTTTTAGAATTAAAAGTTTCAAGTTTATGTAATTTCAAGTTAATAATCTTATGTAGAAGTTGGTAACTTCTACGAGGAGCTGAAAAAAAATCACACCACATTTCTCACTCAAGTGAGTTGACATCAGTTGTATCTTTAATGCCTGCTCCATGTTGCTGTAATCAGGGTCTATGTTAATTTTTAAATATGTACAAACCGTGGGGGAGTGAAGACAGCTACCAGACAGTGTAGGTGTTAGGCAGAACCTTTGTGAAGGTAGCAACTACTCTGTCTGTGAAGGCATGGCAGGCCTGGCTCACTCCGGCCTCTGCTCAAGTCCACAAACAGCTCATCAGTTTGGCAAAGTTCTTTTTAATGAAGTCTGCTTTGGAGTAATTAATTAGAGCTGCAGCGACAAAAGTGCTGGTTCAGCGGCTGTTGCCCAGCCCCCACAAAGTTTCAAGACCTCCTTGTCAACCTCCTCCTGGCACTGGCCAAAGTGGCCATCTATAGCAACAGGAGGAGGATGCTGGACGGGGAGGTGCTCTGCGACAGTGGAGCCCACTTCTGTTCCTCCCTTGTTTCACGCATCCAGGCAGAGTTCTGGGCTGTGTCCGCTGGCTCCCTAGGCAGTTTTGAGGAGCAGAGGGTGCTATCCGGGTTCTCTGCTTGGTGTTCCACCCCGGTTCCCTGATTTTGTACTATGACCATCACTCATGACCCTGTTATTCATCAGTTGTCCCCTGTCCTTATTTGAATCCCAGGTCCAGTAACTCTTCCCCTTAGGCTGTGAGAGGGGCCTTCAGCTGCAGGCGGGTGCAACTTCAATAGATGCTGTTGCCCAGCCCCCACGAAGTCGCGAGACCTCCTCATCAACCTCCTTCTGGCGCTGGCCAAAGTGGCCATCTATAGCAACAGGAGGAGGATGCTGGACGGGGAGGTGCTCTGCAACGGTGGGGATTATCTCCTTTCCTCCCTTCGATCAGGCGACCAGGCAGTGTTCCTCTGCCCTGCATCTGCTGGCTCCCTAGACACCTTTGAGGAGCAGTGGACGCTGTCCGGGGTGCTCTACTTGGTAGCCCAATGCGGTTCCCTGCTTATGCCCCTATGACCTCATTCCTGTCCCTGTTTTCTTATTAATTGTCCCCCAAAATAATTTGAGCCCTGGGTTTAGTCAATCCTCCCCTTAGGCTGCGGGAGGGGCCTTCAGAAATGGGTAGGCTTGTGTCTGCCCACCTCCAGCACTCAATAAAAGCTGTTGCCTAGCCCTCCATCACAGACGGACTTTTATATTGGCAAGGGGATGACAGCCACTATTGAAGATTCTAGCCATTGGCTTTTCGATTGACTAAGAGCAGTATATCAGCAGCAACAAATGGCTTAAGTAAGGTGACAGCTGGCCATGTGGTGAAATTTTAAAAAATGGCCCCTGGATTCTCAGCTTTAATGATGAAAATGCATTGTTTAGTCCTATTGTTCTAATAATAGTAGAGTTACCTATGGGTCAATGGTCTTGTTCTTGTTGCCTTCTGTTTGCTGACGATGAAGTCAGGCTCAGGAGGTGGGTGATGTTCCTTGCGTGTGGGGTAGCTGCTCCGTGGGACAGAGCCCTCACGTGGGTCTGTGCAATTTGCAGCTCCCTGCTGTTAGCCCGAGTGGTGGAAGAGGTATAGAAGGGGTCAGGACAATCTTCTGGCACCCTAGTCCATGTGGATATTACAGTGTAAGTGAGAGCAGTGAAGCTCAGGGAGGCAAACAAGCCCTGACTAGACACAAGGAGCAGGGCAGTGCAAAGGAGAGCTTTAAGCCTCCCATGCACAACACCTCTTGACTTGTATTCTGTAAGCCTGATTCTTCACTCGTTTATACCAGCCTTTCACTGGCTGTAATGCCATTGACATCAAAGGATTTACCCCAGCATAAAATTGGTGTAAACAAATGGAGAATTATGTATTTTGGCATTGTATTTTGCTTCTGTTAAACTGCACACTGGGGTATCTTATTTGAGAGCCTGCTTGTTTACCCAAATGGGGCCTGACAGTCCTCCCAATTACACAAGTTTTCTTCTCCATTTACTTCAATGCAGCTACTTCTTGTTTATGGTATGGGGGACTCTCAGGCCCAGAAGATATTTATACCGATCCTACATGCTGCCGGCCTTCTCCAGAATGGTATGAGTGGAGAGGCTATGCAACAAGGGGTTGTCACATCCTGGTCTACTTGCCAGGAAGGGTGCTCTACGCCAGCTCCAAATAAGGCAGCCCGGAATACAGATTTGGGATGGGGCTACTGGGATGCGCACTCCCAGGGATACAGCAGCTGGGATCCACTGTGCACGAGGAGAGGAAGGGCAGGAGTGGAAAGGCTGATAGCCCCTGACCTGTTCCTGGCCAGGGTATAAATTCCATCTTCACCAGCCCTTCTGGAGTTTGACACACAACCTACAATTGGGGCTTTGTGTAATGTGGGGGAGGGAATTTCACCCTTATTTCCCAAGCGTTGAGTCAAAAACGTACTTCATTTTTTTTTTCTTGCGAACACTGTCCTGTTTGCTGTGAGGAGAATATGGTACACTGCTGAAGAGCACTAAAGTCTCTAAGTAAAAATGAGCTGTTTTCCCAACAGATGATTATAAGTTGTAAACATTTGTATTCTTATTAATATTTTCAAGTACAAATCTTCTCCATGCATTACAACGCTCTGACACCGCTCCCCGCCACATCACATGCTACACCCTGTACCAAATACGGAAGTTAAACAGCAGTGCTCTTGTCGTCATTTGCCTTCAGTGCCCAGTCTCTCTGCATAATCCTTGTGTCAATTTACTGTTTGTGATGTTTAGGACCAAACCAAATTATTCTTTCAGCACATTTAAAACAATCCCTTCCAGACTTTTTTTTCCCCTTGGCTGTGTCTCCAATCTTGGCTTATCACTGTAATATTTCATGCTTTATGCTTCTGAAAAAAAATTCAATATTCAAGAACAAAGTAATCCAGAGCTTTCCCTCATTTCAGTCTTTTATGTCCTAGGGCTGTCCCAACTCAATGACCCAGTTTT